ATTCACATCAAAGAGTGTTCTGCCTATTTCCCTCTAAGAGTTTTATAGTATCCAGTCTTATATTTAGGTTGTTAATCTATTTTGAGTTAATTTTTGTGTGTGGTGTTAGAGAATGTTCTAATTTCATTATTTTACATGTGGCTGTCCAGTTTTCCCAGCACTACTTACTTTGAGACTGTCTTTTCTCTATTATATATTCTTGCTTCCTTTGTTGTAGATTAATTCATCATAGGTGCATGGGTTATTTCTGGGTTTTCTATCCAGTTCCATTAGCCTATACTTGTTTTTGTGCCAATACTGTTTCGATGACTACAGCTTTGTAGTATAGTCTCCAGTCAGGGAGCCTGATTCTTCCAGCTGTTCTTCTTTCTCAGGAATGCCTTGGCCATTTGGTATCTTTTGTGCTTCTATACAAATTTTAAATTTTTCTTGTTCTGGTTTTGTAAAAAATGCAAATCGTAATTTGATAGGGATGGTACTGAGTCTGTAGATTGCTTTGGGTAGTATAATCATTTTGACAATATTGATTCTTTCAATCCAAAAATATGATTTATCTTACGTTTGTATTACATTTGATTTCTTTCATCAATGTCTTAATAGTTTTCAGAGTACAGGCCTTTTGTCTCCTTGGTAAGTGTGTGTGTGTGTGTGTGTGTGTGTGTGTGTGTGTGTGTGTGTGAGAGTTGCTCGTCGTGTCCAACTCTTTGCAACCCTGGGGGTAGTCTGTAGTCCCGCAGTCTCCTCTGTCCACGGACTTCTCCAGGCAAGAACACTGGAGTGGGCTGCATTCCTTTCTCCAGGGGATCTTCCCAGCCCAAGGGTAGAACCTGGGTCTCCCACATTGCAGGCAGATTCTTTACTGTCTGAGCCCTGGGTAAGTTTATTCCTGGGCATTTTATCCTTTTTGATGTGATGGTAAATTATGGGCCTGTTTCCATAATTTCTCTTTCTGACTTTTCATTGTTACTGTATAGAAATGAAAAAGATTTCTGTGTATTAATCCTATATCCTGCAACTTCACTTAACTCATTGATGAGCTCTAGTAATCTTCTGGTAGCATCTTTAGGATTTTCTATATACAGTTCATGCCTTCTGCAAACAGTGACAGTTTTACTTCTTTTCCAATTTGGATTCCTTTTTACTTATTTTTCATCTGATTGCCATGGCTAGTACTTTCAAAACTATGCTGAATAAAAGTAGCAAGAGTGTATACCCTTGTCTTGTTCACTGTTGAATATGATGCGAGCTGTGGGTTTGTCATATACAGCCTTTATTATTTTAAGGTAGGTTCCCTCTATGCTCACTTTCTGGAGAGTTTTTATCACAAAGGGGTGGTGAATTTTGTCAAATGCTTTTTCTGCATCGATTGAGATAAGCATGTGATTCTTTTCCTTCACTCTGTTAATGTTTATAATACACTGACCAGTTTTCATATGTTGAACCATCCTTGAACCCCAGCAATAATCCCACTTGGTTATGGTGTGTGATCCTATTAATATGCTGTTGAATCTGTTGTGTTTCTATACACTAACAATGAACTATCAGAAAGAGAAAATAGGAAAATAATACCATTTATAATTACATCAAAAGGAACTAAATACCTAGGAATATATCTAAGGAAGTAAAAGACTTGTACTTGGAAAACTATAAGATGCTAATTAAAGAAACTGAAGATGACACTGACAGAGGGAAAGACATACCACGCTCATGGATTAGAAGAATCAATATTGTTAAAATGACCATATTATCCAAGGCAATCTGCAGATTCAATACAACCCCTATCAAAATACCATATCAAAAATACCATAGTATTTTTCACACAACTAGAACAGTATTCTTGCCTGGAGAATCCCAGGGACGGAGGAGCCTGGTGGGCTGCCGTTTATGGGGTTTCACAGAGTCAGACACGACTGATGCGACTTAGCAGCAGCAGCAGCAGAACAGAAAATACTTCTAAAATCTGTACAGAAACACAAGAAACAGCAGCCAAAACAATCTTGAGAAGAACAGAGCTAAAGTTATCATGCTGCCTGATTTCAAGCTATACTAACCTGAGCAGTAATGGCACTGCACAAAAATAGACACACAGATTAATGGAACAGAACAGAGCCCAGAGATGAATCCACACTTTATCTGGGCAACTAACCTATGACAAAGGAAGCAAGAATATACACTGAGGAAAAGACAGTCTCAGTGCAGTAAATGGCACTGGCAAAACTGAACAACTACATACAAAAAAACAGATCAACCTGGACTGTTTTCTCACACAATGCACAAAAGTAAATTCAAACTGAATTTAAGACTTAAAAGTAAGACCTGAAACCACAAAACTTCTAGAAGGAAACATAGGCAGTAAATTCTTTGTCATCACCCTTAGTAATTTTTGTTTTGATATGTTTCCTCAGGCAAGCAAAAGAACAGCAAAAATAAACAAAAGGGACATCAAACTAAAAAGCCTTTGCATAACAAAGGAAACCATCAACAACATGAAAAGGTCACCTACTAAATGGGAGAAGATATTTGCAAACAATATCTGATAAGCGGATACTTAAAAAAATATACAAGGTTTTTTGTATTTCCATACAAATTGTGGAATTATTTGTTCTAGTTCTGTGAAAAAGCTACCGTTGGTAGCTTGATAGGGATTGCATTGAATCTATGGATTGCTTTGGGTAGTATAGCCATTTTGACAATATTGATTCTTCCAATCCATGAATACAGTATGTTTCTCCATCTGTTTGTGTCCTCTTTAATTTCTTTCATCAGTGTTTTATAGTTTTCTATGTATAGGTCTTTTGTTTCTTTAGGTAGATATACTCCTAAGTATTTTATTCTTTTTGTTGCAATGGTGAATGGTATTGTTTCCTTAATTTCTCTTTCTGTTTTCTCATTGTTAGTGTATAGGAATGCAAGGGATTTCTGTGTGTTAATTTTATATCCTGCAACTTTACTGTATTCGTTGATTATCTCTAGTAATTTTCTGGTAGAGTCTTTAGGGTTTTCTATGTAGAGGATCATGTCATCTGCAAACAGAGAGAGTTTCACTTCTTCTTTTCCTATCTGGATTCCTTTTACTTCTTTTTCTGCTCTGATTACTGTGGCCAAAACTTCCAAAACTTTGTTGAATAGTAGTGGTGAGAGTGGGCACCCTTGTCTTGTTCCTGATTTCAGGGGAAATGCTTTTAATTTTTCACCATTGAGGGTGATGCTTGCTGTGGGTTTGCCATATATAGCTTTTATCATGTTGAGGTATGTTCCTTCTATTCCTGCTTTCTGGAGAGCTTTAATCATAAATGGGTGTTGAATTTTGTCAAAGGCTTTCTCTGCATCTATTGAGATAATCATATGGTTTTTATCTTTCAATTTGTTAATGTGGTGTATTACATTGATTGATTTGCAGATATTAAGAATCCTTGCATTCCAGGGATAAAGCCCACTTGGTCATGGTGTATGATTTTTTTAATATGTTGTTGGATTCTGTTTGCTAGAATTTTGTTAAGGATTTTTGCATCTATGTTCATCAGTGATATTGGCCTGTAGTTTTCTTTTTTTGTGGCATCTTTGTCTGGTTTTGGAATTAGGATGATGGTGGCATACAGATGGCTAACAAACACATGAAAAGATGCTCAACATCACTCATTATCAGAGAAATGCAAATCAAAACCACAATGAGGTACCATTACACACCAGTCAGGATGGCTGCTATCCAAAAGTCTACAAGCAATAAATGCTGGAGAGGGTGTGGAGAAAAGGGAACCCTCTTACACTGTTAGTGGGAATGCAAACTAGTACAGCCGCTATGGAGAACAGTGTGGAGATTTCTTAAAAAACTGGAAATAGAACTGCCATATGACCCAGCAACCCCACTCCTGGGCATACACACCGAGGAAACCAGATCTGAAAGAGACACATGCACCCCAATGTTCATCGCAGCACTGTTTATAATAGCCAGGACATGGAAGCAACCTAGATGCCCATCAGCAGATGAATGGATAAGGAAGCTGTGGTACATCTACACCATGGAATATTACTCAGCCATTAAAAAGAATTCATTTGAATCAGGTCTAATGAGATGGATGAAACTGGAGCCCATTATACAGAGTGAAGTAAGCCAGAAAGATAAAGAACATTACAGCATACTAACACATATATATGGGATTTAGAAAAATGGTAATGATACCCTATATGCAAAACAGAAAAAGAGACACAGATGTACAGAACAGACTTTTGGACTCTGTGGGAGAAGGCAAGGGTGGGATGTTTCGAGAGAACAGCATCACAACATGTATATTATCTAGGGTGAAACAGATCACCAGCCCAGGTTGGATGCATGAGACAAGTGCTCAGGCCTGGTGCACTGGGAAGACCCAGAGGGATCGGGTAGAGAGGGAGGTGGGAGGGGGGATCAGGATGGAGAATACATGTAAATCCATGGCTGATTCATGTCAATGTATGGCAAAACCCACTACAATAGTGTAAAGTAATTAGCCTCCAACTAATGAAAATAAATGAAAAATAAAAAATTTTTAAAAATGAAAAATATACAAAAACTCATACAACTCAACATCAAAAAACAAACCTGATTTTAAAATGGGCAGAGGACCTGAATAGACATTTTCCCAAAGAAGACACACACATCACACAAGGGCACACTTAACAGGTTTCATAATCAAGTATTAAAATAATCACATATAATAAAAATAAATCACTATCACAAAAACAAAACACAAGTAATAACAAGTATATTGTAGAAAATTTTAAATGAACAATTTATTTGCTTTATTTACCAACTGGTAAATAAAGATCCAAAGCTACAAAGATACAATCTTTGCCTTTGCATTTAAGGCAATTTCATTTCTCACCACAGTTACTTTTTCTGATGTTAGAATCAGCATCTTCTGTGTCTTCCCTGTATTTAATTGAACATTTATGTTTGTCCGCTTAGGAACCATACTTTCTTCATGACCACTGAAGCCCTATAGTATAAAATATCATTGTCTTCATATATTTGAGTAGTATCGATCCCGGTTTTGAAAGTCTCTATGAGCATATCTTGCATAGGTCTTGTTATGAGGGATCCTTCCAAAAGGTTCATGGTCATTGAAACAAGACTCAAAAACTTCATCAACAGCTTTCTGAGCTGCCTCTTTGCTAACGTTCCTAACAGCCAGGATAGAGCGCATGGCTCTGTCTCGCACACAAGTCTAAGGAGCAAGAAAGTATATAGTGTTAATCTTATATGAAAATCTACTCGTGAAACAGTAACACTTCACATAATGTCTGAACCACGGTCACAATTAATTTTCTTTCATGTTATTTTATTAATTTCTATCAGTCCAAAAAATAAAGATTCAATTATGGAGCATGTTTAGCTCAATCTAAAATTATTGAGGTATAAGAAAGATCTCTTCCTCTCCTCCCTTCTTCTTTTCTTTCCTAATGATGATAAGTTCCAGGCAATATCTGCTAAACAGTAACTCCCAATTTGAAAAATCATTAAAAAAAAAAGTCTATAAATAGGTTCTGATTGAATTTTTCTAACTTGAATAAATCTGAAATATACTGCTGTACCTTTCTCTCTCTCAGTTTTTCATAGCTGACCATTGCTGGATAACTTTTCCTCTGAGAGGGGCATCTCCCCTGGAGGCAACAGGAAACTACACAAAATTTGAAGGTTTTCTAATTTTTCAGCGGGGAAAAAAAAAAAAAAATCAAACAACTTTTTTTTGGGCACATGCTATACAAAAGCTAGGACTCTTCTCCCCCTGCTCCCACCTATCTTTCATCCTATTGCCAGCTGTATTCATCCACTGCTACTTCCAACCCAAGGTAAAAAGAGGAGGGATTTCTCTTTCAAAGACTCTCGGCCCCGGATCACATTCCTTGAATGCATTAGCCTCTTCTCGGGGGCGTGCTGATGTGTGCCCGGCTTGCACTCTTTCCACTGAGAGTCAGAACACACTGCCCGTTCACATGCTGCCTGAGCTGACTTCACAGAAGAGCAGGGATTGGAGGGCTCAGAAGACACGTGCTCAGGACGAGTCGGTGCCACAGGTGAGCTTGGCACAGGCTGAAGGCGTAACGGCCTTAGCCGAGCAGTCACCCTTCCCAGGCCCCAGGTCTGCCTTCCAACTCCCATTCACTGAGTTCTCAATTGCTCTCAGTTCACTGTGACGTTTCGCCTTCCTCCCCAGAGCTGAGCTGAGTTACTCCACCAAGGACCTTCCTGTTGCTCCAATCCTGTCCTTTCTACATCTGGTTGAAACTGCTCTCCTGATGCCCACGTACGTCACAAATTGGCCCAGCAACCTACTCCCACAGAGAAGCTCTGACCAGCCTCTCTCCTCAGCATGGACACAGAGCCCCTTGGTTGCCGTGGGAAGAACTGCTCACATCCTTCACCAGTCCGTCAGTTCTGCATTTCCTCTCCCCATGTCCATCTGTGGGTGACCTTAAAAGCTTTCCAGCAGGATTGGTCTTGCCTATAGTTTTCATTTTGTTTTGTTCACAAAATCTCTCAGCTCAGTCCTTCATAATGAAGTCTGTGCCAATCCAAAGCATCGCTGTCACATCACACAGCCTTACAAAGCTGCACAAATACACACTGCACTAAACTGCAGTCTCCGTTCTGACACGTATTACTTTTTTGTCTCAAGAACAATGATAGTTTGAAAACAGAAGTCCAGGACTGTTAGAAGTAAGACAGGCTGTGATTTCATTTCCATTCATTATCTACCCCCATCCAAAATGACCCCATGTGAGATATCATAGCTCTTTTTGCTGCAAAAATCTCCCAGTCACAGAGCTTGCCCATAATTATAAAACACAACTGAATTCCCTCTATTGGATTAAGTGATATACATGTTGTATTCTTTTCCAATAATAGTTCTTTCACATTTCAAATACTAAATGTACTTCTCATTTCTCTATTCATTATTTCCACCATAGCACTCTTGACAGTTAAGTGGTTTCATATGTTAGTTTTTACCTGATGGTGTTGTTTTAATCCAAAATGCAACCTGAATATTTCATTTAAAAGTGAGCAGTCTCCACTAAGGTTAGCAGCTCGAACCTATCACAAGACAGAAGGCAGACAAAAAGAAAGTAAGCACTTGTGCTCTATACCTTTATATCAACTGATTTTTTTATTATAAAAGAATATAAAATTGGCATATTTTTCTGAAGACAGAGTATCTGTAAGATTTTTTTTAAACTCTATTGACTTAAGAAGTTCTTTAGAAAGATAGTAATGATAACCCTATATGCAAAACAGAAAAAAAGACACAGATGTACAGAACAGACTTTTGGACTCTGTGGGAGAAGGCAAGGGTGGGATGTTTCGAGAGAACAGCATCAAAACATGTATATTCTCTAGGGTGAAACAGATCACCAGCCCAGGTTGGATGCATGAGACAAGTGCTCGGGCCTGGTGCACTGGGAAGACCCAGAGGGATCGGGTGGAGAGGGAAGTGGGAGGGGGGGCCGGGATGGGGAATACATGTAAATCCATGGCTGATTCATGTCAATGTATGACAAAACCCACTACAATATTGTAAAGTAATTAGCCTCCAACTAATAAAAATAAATGAAAAAAAATTAAATTAAATTAAGAAAAGAAGTTCTTAAGAAAAAGAGCAGAGGGGTCCCTGGTGGCTGAGTGCTAAAGAATCTGCTGCCAATACAGGAGACATGGGTTCGATCCCTTGTCCAAGAAGATCCCACGTGCTGCGGAGCAGCTACTCCCACGCGCCACAATTACTGAGCCTGTGCTCTGGAGCCCAGGAACCGCAACCACCAAGCCCTTGAGCCATGACCACTGAGGCCCACGCTCTGCAACGAGAAGCCACCGCGATGAGAAGCTGGTGCGCCACAAGTGGAGTGTGGCCCCTGCTGGCTGCAGCGAGAGAAAAGACGGCACGGCAACGAAGATCCAGCGCAACCAACAAACAAACAAACAATTACCGAACTCAGAAAAGCATTACAAAAAAAAGACCAGACATCTATGAGCTACGCTACGAAACACCAAATATACTGAGGGGAATCACCTCTTCAAAAGGGATTTTCAAAATGTTTCTCTGGAACCTTAATGACAGAACTAATTTCTGTTCAAACCAAAAGTCAGAGTTGGACTTCTGAGTTAAAGATTATGCCCTCTATAATCTTTACAGATACTCTGTTCTCACTTCTAGAAATGACCAAAAGGACTTCAAGAAAGCACTCTTCCAAAGACCTACAAACTGATTTTCAGTGTGAGCATAAAACAGAACACATCAGTACCTAAGACACTCAGGCACACACACCTCCCAGGCCTCCTAGCCCAAACCACTGACGCGCTCTTGGACCTTCCCTTAAACCCATGTAAGTTCATGACCTTCCTCCAAGGCCTCAGTTGGCCTATGAAAAATTAATGGGTTCAAGAATCAAGAACATTCCAAACTGTTCATGCTACGAATATGACAGCCTGAAGGTAGTACGTATCTTCTAATTTGCTGAATCTTTAAGGTAAGAAGAAGCTTTGTGTGTGTGCTCAGTCATGTCCGACTCTTTGCAACCCCATGGACTGTAGTCTGCCAGGCTCTTCTGTCCATGAAAGTTTCCAGGCAAGAATACTGGAGTGGGTTGCCATTTCCTACTCTGAAAAGCAGCTTTAATATGTGAAATAGTTGTGGAACTACCCACATTCTATAGCCAGCCTGGCCACAATTTTGCTCATTCACTGCAATCAGATGGCCCACTTCATTTTACTCCTATAATAACATAGCTTCATTCCTCTGAGGAGCTCAAAGCACTTAACACAGTTTAACTAGCTAACAGGCATTAATTCTTGTAACACCCCAGAGAGAGAGAAATATTCAAAAGCTCAGGTTTCAGTCTTTTTTCCAAATCATATGAGTTATAATCAGACGCAGTGAGGCCACTTATTAATTTCAAGGGAAAGAGAAAATAATCTAAGTTATGAAATATAAGCTTGAAATTTACATTAGTTTTTTTTTTTTAGCTTCTCAGCACATTGCACTCTTCAATTAATGAAATGCAAGTATGAAATACAAATGTCTTTCTAGGAGCATATATATGTGTATTTCTGAAAGCAATCCAGTCAACATAGGAAAATATTATGATGTTGTATTTTTCATACTGTTGATGGGGTTCTCAAGGCAAGAATACTGAAGTGGTTTGCCATTCCCTTCTCCAGTGAACCATGTTTGGTCAGAACTCTCCACCATGACCCATCTGCCTTGGGTGGCCTACTTGGCATGGCTCATGGTTTCATTGAGTTAGACAAGGCTGTGGTCCATGTGATCAGTTTGATTAGTTTTCTGTGACTGTGGTTTATATTCTGTCTGCCCTCTGATGGAGAAGGATAAGAGGCTTATGGAAGCTTCCAGATGGGAGAGACTGACTGAGGGGGATACTTGTTCTGATGGGCGGGGCCATGCTCAGTAAATCTTTAATCTACTTTTCTGTTTGATGGGTGGGGCTATGTTCTCTCCCTCTTGTTTGACTGAGACCAAAACTATGGTGGCGGTAATGAAGGTGATGGCGACCTCCTTCAAAAGGTCCCATGGACGCACTGCTGCGCTCAGTGCCCCTGACCCTGCACCAGGCCACCGCCACCCACACCTCTGCCAGAGACTCCGGGACACTCACGGCAAGTCTGGGTCAGCCTCTTGTGGGCTCACTGCTCCTTTCTCCTGGGTCCTGGTGCACAAGGTTCTGTCTGTGCCTCCAAGATCTGTTTCCCAGTCCTATGTAAGTCCTGGCGGCTCTGTGGTGGGGTTAATGGCAACCTCCTCCAAGAGGGCTTATGCCAAACCCAGGTCTGTCTCACCCAGAGCCCCTGCCCCAGCGGCAGGCCACTGCTGACCTGTACCTCCACAGGACACACTCAAACATTTAATATCATCTTAAATGATCTGTATAGCTACTAGCAGGCTGCAGATGACAGAAAGGAAATGTCTGAAAGCTCAGAGACTGGCGCCAGGCCCCTCAGCCACAACATGCATTCTGAGATAACACTGGCACGAGGTGAGTTCTTCCGGGCCACAGAACGATGGACATGAATCTTGGAGAAAGGCAGGTTTCCGAGCAAAGCTGTTCAAACACTCGGGGCAGGTCTGGCTCAGTCTCTGTGGGTCTCCTGGCGCACACGGCTTCGTTTGAGCCCTGCGCGTGTCTCTGGCAGGTATGGGCTTTGATTTCGCCCCTCCGGCCATCTAGCAGGGGCTTCTCCTTTGCCCTTGCACATGGGGTATGTTTTTTTGGCGGGCATTCCCCTGTTGACAGTTGTTCAGCAGCGAGTTGCAATTTTGGAATTCTCACAGAAGATGAGCGCACGTCCTTCTACTCTGCCATCAAAGATAGGCAAAAAGATAGGAAACTGAAAGAGGAACTCCCCAGGTCGGCAGCTGCCCATATGCTACTGGAGAACAGTGGAGAAATAACTCCAGAAAGAATGAAGAGATGGAGCCAAAGAAAAACAACACACACTTGTGGATGTGACTGGTGATGGAAATAAAGCCTAATGCTGTAAAGAGCAATATTGCATAGGAACCTGGAATGTTAGGTCCATGAATCAAGGCAAATTAGAAGTGGTCAAACAGGAGATGGCAAGAGTGAACATCAACATTTTAGCAATCAGTGAACTAAAATGGACTGGAAGGGGTGACTTTAACTCAGATGATCATTATATCTACTACTGTGGGCAAGAATCCCTTAGAAGAAATGGAGTAGCCATGATAGTCAACAAAAGAGTGCGAAATGCAGTACTTGGATGCAATCTCAAAAACGACAGAATGATCTCTGTTCGTTTCCAAGGCAAACCATTCAGTACCACAGTAATCCAAGTCTATGCCCCAACCAGTAATGCCAAAGAACCTGAAGTTGAATGGTTCTATGAAGACCTACAAGACCTTCTAGAACTAACACCCAAAAAAATGTCCTTTTCATTATAGGGGACTGGAACGCAAAAGTAGGAAGTCAAGAGATACCTGGAGTAACAGGCAAATTTGGCCTTGGAGTAAAGAATGAAGCAGGACAAAGGCTAACAGAGTTTTGCCAAGAGAACGCACCCTCTTCCAACAACACAAGAGAAGATTTTACACATGGACATCACCAGATGGTCAATACTGAAATCAGATTGATTATATTCTTTGCAGCCAAAGATGGAGAAGCTCTATACAGTCAGCGAAAGCAAGACTGGGGGCTGACTATGGCTCAGATCATGAGCTCCTTATTGCCAAATTCAGACTGAAATTGAAGAAAGTAGGAAAAACCACTAGACCATTCACGTATGACCTAAATCAAATCCCTATACAGTGGGAGTGACAAACAGATTCAAAGGATTGGATCTGATAGACAGAGTGCCTGAAGAACTATGGATGGAAGTTCGTGACATTGTACAGGAGGCAGTGATCAAGACCATCCCCAAGAAAAAGAAATGCAAAAAGGCAAAATGGTTGTCTGAGGAGGCCTTACAAATAGCTGAGAAACGAAGAGAAGCTAAAGGCAAAGGAAAGATATAACCATTTCAATGCAGAGTTCCAAAGAATGGCAAGGAGAGATAAGAAAGCCTTCCTCAGTGATCAATGCAAAGAAACAGAGGAAAACAATAGAATGGGAAAGACTACAGATCTCTTCAAGAAAATTAGAGATACCAAGGGAACATTTCATGCAAAGATGGGCTCAATAAAGGACAGAAATGGTATGGACCTAACAGAAGCAGAAGATTTAAGTGGCAAGAATACACAGAAGAACTACACAAAAAAGATCTTCATGACCCAGATAACCATGATGGTGTGATCACTCACCTAGAGCCAGATATCCTGAAATGCAAAGTCTAGTGGGCCTTAGGAAGCATCACTACGAACAAAGCTAGTGGAGGTGATGGAATTCCAGTTGAGCTATTTCAAATCCTAAAAGATGATGCTGTGAAAGTGCTGCACTCAATATGCCAGCAAATTTGGAAAACTCAGCAGTGGTCACAAGACTGGAAAAGGTCAGTTTTCATTCCAATCCCAAAGAAAGGCAATGCCAAAGAATGCTCAAACTACTGCACAACTGCAGTCATCTCACACACTAGCAAAGTAATGCTCAAAATCCTCCAAGCCAGGCTTCAAAAGTACATGAACCCTGAACTTCCAGATGTTCAAGCTGGATTCAGAAAAGGCAGAGGAACCAGAGATCAAATTGCAAACATCCATTGGATCATAGAAAAAGCAAGAGAGTTCCAGAAAAACATCTATTTCTGCTTTACTGACTACACCAAAGCCTTTGACAGTGTGGATCACAACAAACTGTGGAAAATTCTTAAAGAGATGGGAATACCAGACCACCTGACCTGCCTCCTGAGAAATCTGTATGCAGGTCAAGAAGCAACAGTTAGAACTGGATATGGAACAACAGACTGGTTCCAAATCGGGAAAGAAGTACATCAAGGCTGTATATTGTCACCCTGCTTATTTAACTTATATGCAGAGTAAGAACATCATGCAAAATGCTGGGCTGGATGAAGCACAACCTGGAATCAAGATTGCTGACAAATATCAATAACCTCAGATATGCAGATGACACCACCCTTATGGCAAAAAGTGAAGAAGAACTAAAGAGTCTCTTGAAAGTGTAAGAGGAGAGTGAAAAAGTTGGCTTAGAATTCAACATTCAGAAAACTAAGATCATGGCATCGGGTCCCATCACTTCATGGCAAATAGATGGGGCAACAATGGAAACAGTGACAGACTTTATTTTGAGGGGCTCCAAAATCACTGCAGATGGTGACTGTAGCCATAAAATTAAAAGATCCTTGCTCCTTGGAAGAAAAGCTATGACTAACCTAGACGGCATATTAAAAAGCAGAGACATTACTTTTGCCAACAAGGGTCCATCTAGTCAAAACCATGGTTTTTCCAACAGTCATGTATGGATGTGAGAGTTGGACTGTAAAGAAAGCGGAGTGCCAAAGAATTGATGCTTTTGAACTGTGGTGTTGGAGAAGACTCTTGAGAGTCCCTTGGACTGCAAAGAGATCCAACCAGTCTATCATGAAGGAAATCAGTCCTGAATATTCGTTCGAAGTACTGATGCTGAAGCTCTAATACTCTGGCCACCTGATGTGAAGAACTGATTCATTGGGAAAGACCCTGATGCTGGGAAAGATTGGGGGTAGGAGAAGGGGATGACAGAGGAGCAGATGGCTGGATGGCATCACCAACTCGATGACATGAGTTTGAGCAGGCTCCCAGAGTTGGTGATGGACAGGGAGGCCTGGTGTGCTGCAGTCCATGCGGTCACAAAGAATCAGACACAACTGAGTGACTGGACTAACGTTGTATTTTTGAAATGAACTGTTTACTCTATGGAAAGCTAGCAACTTTACCTGTGGAAGGCAGCACAGCAAACCCATCAAGAACCTTGATTGTAACCTTGCCTCTGCCACTTACTAACTATGGTATCTAAACAATTGCCTCACGTTTCACATAAATAAAATGGGAATAACAGTATCTACACCTCAAGGAATTGCTGTGAAGATTAAATAAGAATCCACAAACAGAACAGTGTTAGGCACACAGCGCTCAGTAAATGTTGATATAAATTTTATGATATAGGAAATGTTTATTCCACAGGAAAAACAATTTTTTATATTATAATTAGTCATAGTCATGTAATAGTCCAATCAGTATTACTAGGATTTAAAGGTTATACTTAAGACAAAAATTGTATTCAATAGTTAGGAACAGAAATCAAAGACTAACATGGAATTATGACAAGAAAACAAAGATGTTTAAATAGATCATACTTGAATAAAATGTTCAAACACACAATGTCAGGGTTGGGGGGAAGTATCTTCTACAACAGAACTTACCTCAGAGCAGGCCAAGTGCCTGACATTGGTGAACCAGTTGACATGAGCGCGGCAGTGATCGAAGGCGTGAATGAGCTCATGGGTGACCACTCTGTTCATATGGGCCTGATTACGGATGTTATTCTGGCAGAGAACAATCTAAGAGGCACCAAAGGGACAGAAGCTCAGTTACGTCCAAGAGTGACTCTCATTGCGAAGGGTCCACCTTCGGTCTCCCCTGAGAGGGCACAGTGCTTGGGAGGCCTCACCTCCTCTCCCCCATGGAGCCCACACCCTCCCCACCGTCGAGGCCCAGCCTTCTCCATACACACCAGGGAGCCTTGCCCAGGGGCCCTCCTCTCCGTGGACGCACAGTGCTTCGTTTAAGGACCTTTATTCACGTACCACCCTCGCTGGGTGGACTGAACCAGCCTGCCTTGGACTCTACCGTCTCAATAATATTTAAGCGTGGATCTTGGAACGAAGCAGAGATTCAAATTCCAGCCCCATGCCTTACTAAGTCAGTGACCTTGGGCAAGTTTCTTAAGCTTTCTGTGCCTCAGTTTCCTCAACTATTAAAAGGAGATGACTTACATTACCTACCTCATAGAACTGTGAGAATTAAATGAGAGTATATGTAAAAGGCTTCTTATCAAGTTTCTGAATGAGCAATGAATCAACAATGCATGACCACACTGTCCCATTCTACTAGAATTGCCAGGAAAAGTCCTCAGAAAGACCTTCAGAAAGACATGCAAAAAGCCCACAGCACACTGAACAGGAGACCCTCTAAGAATAACAAAAACATGAGGGTCCTAGTAATAAGTTTCTACTTACTCCGTCCTTACTAAGTGCCAGACACTGGGACATGGCCCAGGTATTTCATATACGTTCATTCAACATTCATTTATTCAACTAATATTTACCAAGACCTATTTACAGGCTACAAATGGAGATAGAAATTAATCAAATATTTACCAAAATGTCTGAGCACATGCAATAACAGTTGCTATGAGTACATACAATGATCTGCAGAGTTGGGAAATGGTTCTCTGCAGAAGGAATGTTAAAACTGGGATCTAATGGATGGATGAACAGGAGTTAAATTTGAGAAGAGGGGAAGGGAGCATTCCAGAGAGAGAGTAACACGTGCAAAGGGTAGGGGGAGGGTTGAAGGACAGGAATGTCTGAGAAGGTGAAGGTAGGCCTATAGGACTGAAGCACAAAGTTGGAGGTGGTAGGCATGAGGTAGGGCTGGTGAGCTCATCAGGGCCAAGTCACGCTTTATGCTGACAGCAGTGGGAAGTTGCTGAAAGGGAACAGTGAAATGGGGGTGGGTTATTTTGCTTTCATCCTTTTGACCACAGTTGGAAAAACAGGCATAAGATGATCCAAACTGGATGCAGAGAGACTAACCAAATGAGAATAAAGTATTCTAGGCAAGAGATAATAGTGCCCGAGCCAGGGTGGTGGGAGCCTAAAAGGTATTTAGGAGGTAGACTGTGCAAAATTTGGTGCTGGATAGAAAATGAGAAGGGAATCAGAGGGATCAAGGATGATCCCTAAAGTTCTAGCTTGCATAATAGGATGGATGGTGGTACCATTCACTGAGATACTGAAAACTAAAAGACCAGGTTGGGTGGAGATGGAGGATGGTAAAAATCATCAACTTGAATTTGGACATGTCAGGTCTGAGATGCCTTTAAAACTTCCAAGTTTAGGTGTGCAGTGAACACTTGGCTCTATGGATGTGGAATTCAAGACAGAGTTCTGACCTAGCAAAACAAATTAGATCGCCTTGGCAGAGTGCTGGAAAGAAAAGAAGGGGCTGTAACACTGTATTAAGGGACTTCAACATCTAAGGGCTGGTACAGAAAGCTGAGCTACCAAAGGAGCAACTGCAGGAGTGCTGCACACCGGAAACCAGCCAGAAAGTGGCATTAGCTGCTCAAGTCAAGTGAATGCATGAGGCATGAGCCAGCAATCCTCTCCAGGCAGAGACCCTGCAGTAACCCCTGCCTGTGTGTGCTTCAGGAGAGGAGGTGAAGAAGTCACAGGAGCACTGCTTATAATAACAACACTGGAAATAACATTAGAGGGAGTAAACTCTACTACAGATATACAATGGAATAATATACACAACAGTGACACTAAATAAACCAAGGATGCATACAAGACAGAAGACTCTCACAATGTTGTACAAAAGAAATTAAATTACAGAGGACTATATCCGGTATAATTCCATAAAATGACAGAGTATTACATATGAACTTGAGTGTACTTTACAAGAGAAATCTCATTTAATTCTCATAACTGTTCTGTGAGATAAATACAATCGTTACCCATATTTTACAGATGAGAAAACTCACTCCCCTCATCAAAAATTCTCAGAGATGCATCACTTCCCACTGTGTAAAGATGAAACTCTTTATCCTGACATTCAAAGCCTCCCACCATACAGCAGCTGTACTATACAACATCCCCCTGGGAACCACACCCGCCTCCAGGAGTTTAACCTGCCTCAAATCCTGTCATTGTCTGATTTGGAGGCTTGTCTCCCCTGTGAGACTAACCCATTTGTTTTTAATCCTACACAAAGTCTACCCAGCAGAATGCCTGGCACATGGAAGGCACTCAGCAAACACGAGGAGAACTGCAGGAAAGAAAACGACTTGGTAAAACGCCCACCTGAGACACTGCAGCGTCAAAACCTCCACTGACATTTCCGTTACAGTCTTCACAAGCAAAGTGTCTGTCTTTGTTAACAGCACTGGAAGGCAAGAACGGATTAAAGAGACAATGTGCAGAAGCAGTGTCCATGGGGCACAGCCCTGGGCCAGCAGACCGGATCATCCATATCTCCACCACGGCCACCCAGGACACCTCGGGAAAGCAACTGAACACCTTCAGCATTTAGTCCTCTCATCTGTAGAGTAGGGCAACTGTCTTTGCAAAATCGATCCCAGTTCAAATGCTACCCGTGAGTCCAGAAGGCACTGGCTCGACTAATGAAGACCGACTGGAAATACGCTGGAGTTTCTGCCCTTGGGCCAGAATGTTAAAAGGGGAGCTCAGAAGTCACTTTTTCTGATCCCCTCAAAGTTAAACGACACCTGGAAGGCTACCGCATGCGTAACAAACTGAGACTTCTCCATGAAGGATAATGCCGAGACTGGCATAGTGGAAAAACCAGGTTTGGTAATTAGTTACGAGAAACATGTTAAGTATTGTCTTTACTAAACACCTGAGGTGAATGGTGGAGCCAAAGATGTGGAGTTAGGGCAGAAGAGATCCGGAGAGAAGAAGGCCTGCCTGGAGAGAATGCGGCCAACGACCACGTGCCACATGGAAAGGGCTTTGCGGCCTGAGTGAAAAATCTGAAGAGGTTCCAGTTTGTGGGGGGTGGGGGAGAAAGGGGTGGCTTGTTTTCAGCAGTCAGAATACAAAGGAGCACTTTAAAAAGATTTACTTACCAGCCTGAATGCTTCATGGCATCAAGTAGAAGTTTGACATATGGATCTAGAAAGATATTGATTCAATTACATACGGTAATTGGGAAAAAAAAAAGCAGCAATTAAATTATCCAAATATTATAAAAGAAAAACATACCTCTCAAATCTTAGTGAAATAGAAAAAAAAAATCTTAGTGAAATAATACTACTATCTAATTTTAAGTCATACTAATTAGTAATTAGTAATAATTTTAAGCAATACTAATATCTTAAAATTGATTAAAAATGAATACAAAAAGATAAGCTTAAATTAACATAAAAGCAAGTCTTTAATGAGACACTGACAGAAATACCAAAATGTGTACCACCAAACATCTTAGATAATATCAAATATGTTTCTCAGTTAAATGATCAAACACAATGTGTTAAAATATGTACCAAAAGACTGAGGGAATGTATACGTACAAGATATACCAACAAGACTGTGGTCATAGCCACAGAGTACCAGATTAGAGGAAGGCAGTGCGTGGCCCCACTGAGGTCTGCCTCATCTGTACACAGCACCCCATTCTGAGTACCACACCCTAAACAGGACCTGCCAGCCCAGGCTGTCCCACAGGGGAAGCTGCTGCAACAGTGCAGGGCTATGCTCTATAGGAAGCAAGAAAGGGATCTGGAGACTTGGAAGGGAAAAAGAAGATACCCGCTGGCCAACAGGCACACGCAAAGACGTTCAACATCTCTAGTTATTGAAGAAATGCAAATCAAAACTACAATGAGATATCACCTCACACCGGTCAGAATGGCTACCATCAAAAGATCCACAAACAGCAAAGGTGGAGAGGGTGTGGAGAAAAGGGAACCCTCCCACACTGTTGATGGGAAGTAAATTGCTACAGCCGCTTTGGAGAACAGTACAGATGTTCCTTAAAAACTAAAAACAGAGCTACCACATGACCCTGCAATCCCACTCCAGGGCATACATCTGGAGAAAACCATGTTCCGAACGGATACATGCCCCCAGTGTTCACTGTAGCGCTGTTCCCAAGAGCCAAGACACGGAAGCAACCTAAACGCCCACTGACAGGGGATGGATAGAGAAGATGTGCTGCATACACACAGCGGAATATTACTCGGCCACTAAAAAGAATGAAATAACGCCATTTGCAGCGACTCAGACGGACCAAGAGAGTGTCACACTGAGAGAAGTGAGTCAAAGGAGGAGAAACATCACATGACATCCCTTACATATGGAACCTAAAAGGAAACGATACAAATGAACTTAAACAGTGACCCACAGACAAAGAACAAACCTATGGCTGCCCAGCAGAGTGGGGGTGTGGGGAGGGATAGTTGGGGACTTTGGGGAGGTCATGTACACACAACTATATTTAAAATGGATAGCCGACAAAAACCTACTGTATAGCACATGGAACTCTGCTCACTGTTACTTGCCAGCTTGGATGGGAGGGGAGTTTGGCGGAGAATGGATACGTGTATATGGATGGCTGGGTCCCTGTGGTGTCCACCAGAAATTATCACAACATTGTTCATTGGCTACACCTCAATACAAAATAAAAAGTTTAAAGTAAAAAGAAAAAGATTTAACTAAGGCCCCAATAATTTCAAGTATCTGAAGAGGTGTCATGTGGGAATCGATTCTGCCAACATTTCTTCAGAGAGCAGAACAAGGACCAAAGGGCAGAAGTTACATGGGGCACATTTCAACTCGACATGAGAAAGGGTTTTTCCAACAATTATAGCAGTCGATACAAGAGCCTGGTAGCCTCAAAGGGCTTCAAAGATAACCTGTTCCAACAGAGCTCTAAAACACTCTGGTCAATTGATGGCACAGAGGTTTCTGGTCAGTGATGGGGGTGAAAAGGCCTAGACAACTCCAGAGCCCCCCACCACCACTTCTAAGAATCTATGAGCCTGTTAAAATTACAGGAAAATATAAGGAACCCAGGTGCCTCTAACATCAACTTTTCACATAGATGTCCTGTCTGAGAATATAAATGCACAGCAAATTACGTAACATAAGCAAAAAAAAGAAGAAGAAGAGGATATTAAGGTTTTCAAATGCTGAAAGCAAAAACAGGTGAGTAAAAGTATTGTTGGATGAGAAAGTTAAGTACTGGTTACTGCTTTTCTAACCTGACTCCTCTTAAAGAGTGTTAACAGTAAAACAATTATTAACAAATACTACTTAGTGTATATCAAGTATCAGGCACCATACTAAATGCATTATTACTGAAGCAACTGAGAGTTTTACAGAGCTGAAATGGGTTCAAAAGTCTAGTGTCCTCTTTAAAAAAAAAAATGCTGGTTTGGTTCTTCAAAGAAGGACCTGCAGTATTTAGAATGGATGTGCTTTGGAGAAAAATAAAACAAACGTCTCCCTTGAAGCCTGATCTCTTTCATCACACCCGTCCCAGGGATAGGATTTTAAAGCTGCAGGCTGATGCTTTAATACACTAACAAGTTCTCCAGCAGCTTTCCCCTTGGAAGGTTGAAACGGGTTAATTCCAACTGGGACTCAAGTTCAGCACCTGGCCCATCTCACTTCCTATCTCAATTCTTCTTCCACTTTTTGGCTCTTCCATTGTAAGAACAGCTACAGCTTCTTTATTCAGCTCCTGATACACTGGCACTTTACACTTATAAAACCTAATCCTCACAACAACCCTAAAAGAGGTACTTTCACCCATTCCCAACTCCCTTTTCCTTTCCCTGATAAAGACAGACAGGATCAGAGAGTTAAATCACTCTTCCATATGTAACAAGGAAAAGGATCAAAATTTAAACCCACGTCTAAATCTGCAGCCCATGTCCTTTCCATCGCATTTCACTTTGGAACATTTTAAAGGCAGGGTCCCAACTACTCTCTGTATTTGCCCAAAGCAGAATCTAGGAGGCATTTGATACATATTTGCAAAGTAAATACAATGTCATCATTCCCCTCTACTCCCCTTTCCCCTCCCCTGATTCCCGGAGATAAAGGCAGTCTCAAGAAGGATGGAAAACTCAGAGTGGTTGACTTTTGAACTGTCACTGGCCAGCTATGAAACAGTAATCTTATTTTGGGACAAACAAGTTTGTCTTTGATTCTCTTAATGTATCTAAAGTAAACTTGGGAAGTCTAGGGCCTTGTAAAAAAGTTAAGAAATCTCTAGTGCAATGTCCCTGGATTTAGAAACTGGTCAGCAGACAGTGTCCCTATGTAACCCGCATCAGTGGTTCTTAACCTTTTCAGGGTCATGGGCATCTCAGAACATCATGGGGCTATGAACTCTCTCCCCAGAAAGATGCCCTTAGGAGCATACATAACAGGAGTTTCGCAGTCCGTGTCAGAAGTTTCCACACTCTGAAGCCCATCCGTGTATGAAGGTTAAGAACCCTTTTCAACAAAGAGCAGGACTGCAAAACTGTCTTTGCACTGCCAGCAGCAGTGAACAGGGTGGGGCACAACCCTTAAAGAAGAACAGAGCTGTTGTGGACATGACATAAAATGGTTAGAACCAGTCAGGCCCAAGACGGCAGAAGATCCAACTCTCAGTAGAGCTTGAGCCTTATTATACGCTCATTTTAATTTATCAGCATGCTAAATGACACATTGCACAGCAGTTCCGAAGCTAACCATAAAAGGCCAAACAGTGGGCTCTGTCCCAAACCCTGGAAATCCACACCTCCGTCTCCAAAAGAGCCGGAATAATCCTCCCACTCATTAGCCTATGAAATTACCCAGCCCATAAAAACCAACCAGCCCATATACCCAGGCCACCCTCACCGCCTGAGACAGACCGCCTTCTGTCTATGGTACGTGGATCTCCCAGGGCCTCCCACCTTCTGAGACAGCCCACACTGTATGCAGTTTGTGTCTCTCTCAATAAATCTACTTCTTACCTATCATTTTGCCTCCTGCTCAATTCCTACTGCAGTGAGACATAAAGAACCTGAACTTCCTGAGACCAGGTGTGCGATTTCAATTAAAAGACAGCAGGTTCCGCTCCCAGCCTGCAGGGCTCAAGTCCCAATCTGAGTTTTAGCTGGGTTCAAATCCCATCTGAGGTGCGCGGTTTCAGCAAGTATGCTTTAATTAACGTAGCTCTTTAAAACTCTGCTTCACCGGGACTCTCCAGTCCCCATATAACTGCACAGTTTACCTATGAAATGAGAGGATCTGTCAGAATGTGACGGAAAGGGCTAACTCCTAAGCCGACTCCTCATTCACGCCACAGGCAAAAGTCGTCCTGAAGCGGGGCTCAGCGCCTTCTCTGATCGAAACTGAGGCTCAGCCCCCTACACCCACCCCACGATGCCGAATCTGCCCTAACTCTGCCCTTGGGACCAGACCCCGGCCCCGCCACACCTGGGCCGAACCCGGAGCCCCCTAGCGGAGGGGTGTAGCGGAGGGGTGCGGAGGCCCCTCCCTGCCCGCTCGCGCTCAGACCCCAGCCCGCAGACGCCCGGCCCCCGGGTCACGGCTCCTACTTGTCGCCAACGTCTTCAAGAGCATAAGCTGGCACTTCTGGTTGTTGGTGAAAAAACTGGAGAGGAACCCTTGCGGTGGCTTCTGCTGAGCCAGCCGCTCGGAGAAGACTTGGCACCCAACATGCTGCTGCGGCAGCTGCTCCGCTGCCTCGGGGCCCGGCTCGCGCTCATCCGGAGCTTCTGCCATGCCGCCCACGGACTTTGCCGCGGCTTCTTCCTCCCGCTTCGGGCGGCGGAGGGTGATAGAGGGAAAGGTAACCTCCCTCCCACCGCCCAGGCCCTCCCTCTGCCAGGCCGAACCCGCGCCAGCCCGGCCGCCGCCGCTGGGCGGGGCCAAGGACGTTCAGTCGCTGGGGTCTGCAACCCAGGACACTGACCGAGTGCGGGGCAAGAAGCGCCGGGAAGGGCGACGGCAACGGGGCGGGGCGGCGAGTGCTGGGCGGGGCGACGGCTGCTGGGCGGGGCTGGGGCGGGGCTAGAGGGGCGGGGCCTGGGGCCTGCTGGCTGAGCAGACCTGTACCCCCGCAGAATGCAGCCGGCCAGCTGGGGGCTTCGCCGCGGCGCCTCGGCCTGCTTGTGCGGTCTCCACAAGCCTTGCTCCGCAGCTCCGCTTCCTCGGGCACACCCCTTCCTTACCTCCTGACCAGTGCTGGTCATTAAATACTCTTCTCGCCCTGAAGGTTTTTGCCACCTTCCCACTCCCTGATTTGTCCACCAGCAGGCTAACTGCAGTCTCTGCTCCACCTCTCTCTTGACCCCCCAAGCCATATTGAAAGCACTATTTCCCGGAAACGTTTGAAAACTGCAATTATAACGATTGGTCGCGCTAAAATCCTCAAAATATAAGACCAAACTCCTTTTTTATCCTGCCTCATCTAGGCCCATTCGCCCACCCTATTTTTTTGCCACCAAAAATAACTCTAAAGATGAAATAAATTCATATTTTATGACAAGAATAATTTAAACTTAAATTTTTTCTCTGCCAGATCAGGCCTCTTCCCTCCCCCTTAGAGTGTATTGTGCATCTGCATTAACCAGAGCTTACAGTTCTTCTCAATCTTGTATAGTGTCAGGATGACCCACTACTTCATAACTCCTTGAGAGATAACCTTCCTTCTGTCAATAATTCATTTGATGTATAACCCTTTATCTCAAAAACATGTAACAGTGCTGGGACCTCTAAGGGGTGGAGCAGTCCTCAGAGAGCTTTCTGAAAGACTGTCTCCCAGGTTACAATCCTCAGATTGTCTCAAATAAAATTTTCCATTTCTTTCTTAGATCAACTATTAATTTTTTCATCAACATAACAAAACACAACATTTTAACTTATACCTCCAAGCTTTAACTCATAATTCCATCCTTAAGCCGTCATCCTCTGTCCTTACGGAAAAGGAAATGGCAATCTACTCCAGTATTCTTGCCTGGAAAGTCCTGTGGACCCCATTTGGTGGGCTACAATCCATTGGATCGCAAAGAGTCGGACACAGCTGAGCGTGCACACACACACACCTTCAGTCCTTAAATTTCAGTTCCTGATCAAATCTACCTAATCCACAGGGCATTCCCAGATACCTTAATCAAAATTAATCTCTCCTGATCTCCCAAAGTACAAAGTACTTTGTATCTATTATGGTTTCATCAATACCTGACAGGTTTTAACTAACTTGTGTTTCTCTTTTCCACTAAATTTACTCAGTTCAGCTCAACATTTATTCAGCACCTTCTATGATGTGCTAGGCATGGCAGCAGAAACATAAGAGAATTTTTTAGGTTGAAAGGAGCATGTGATTTATGTAAGAAAGGTATCTAAATCATAAAGATTCAAGAGATGTTGAGGAATATGAACAGTACCTATGTGTCAAAGGTGCTCAATAAATAACTAAATTGATTGAGATGCTCAGATTACTCATTCATTTGAAATATAAAATTATGAGTACCTCCTATGTACATAGACTGCTAAGGCTATAAGAAAAAAGCTACTTTTTATTAAGCTGAGATATGTTACTTCTAATCCCTACCACAACCCTGCAAAATAATTATTATTATCAGTATATTTTGCAGATAAAGAAAGTGGGCTCAACAAAACTGAATAATTTATCCAGGACCACACAGCTAACTCTAATAGAGTTAGGGAACTAAAATATACAAAGATGGAAAACGAGACCATTATGTTGTTGTTGTTGCTCAGTCGCCCAGTTGTGTCAGACTCTTTGCAAACCCATGAATTGCAACAGGCCAGGCCTCCCTGTCACTCACCATCTGTCGGAGTTTGCCCAAGTTCACGGACTTTGCATCAGTGATGCCATCCAGCCATCTCATCCTCTGATGCCCTCTTTTCCTTCTGCCCTCAATCTTTCCCAGCATCAGGGTCTTTTCCAATGAGTCAGCTGTTCATATCAGGTGACCAAAATACTGGAGCTTCAGCTTCAGCATCAGTCCTTCCAGTAAGTATTCAGGATTGATTTCCTTTAAGATTGACTGGTTTGAACTCCTTGCTGTCCAAGAGACTCTCAGGAGTCTTCTCCAGCAACATAGTTCAATTCCTTGGCATTCTGCCTTCTTTGGAGAATGACGGCAACTGACTACATTACTCTTGCCTGGAAAATCCCATGGATGGAGGAGCCTAGTAGGCTGCAGTCCATGGGGTCCCAAAGAGTCAGACACAACTGAGCAACTTCACTTTCACTTTTCACTTTCATGCATTGGAGAAGGAAATGGCAACCCACTCCAGTGTTCTTGCCTGGAGAATCCCAGGATGGCGGAGCCTGGTGGGCTGCTGTCTATGGGGTCGCACAGAGTCAGACACGACTGAAGCGACTTAGCAGCAGCAGCTGCCTTCTTTACAGTCCAGCTGTCACAACTGTACGTGACCACTGGGAAGACTATAGCTTCGACTATATGGATCTTTGTCAGCAGAGTGATGTCTCTACTTTTCAACACACTGTCTAGGTTTATCATAGCTTTCCTGCCAAGAAGCATCATCTTCTGATTTCATGGCTGCAGTTACCATCCACAGTGATTTTAGAGCCTAAGAAGAGAAAATCTGTCGTTTCCACCTTTTCCCCTTCCATTTGGCTTGAAGTAATGGGGCCAGATGCCATGATCTTATTTTTTTTTAATATTTAGTTTTAAGCTGGCTTTTTCACTCTGGAGGAGGGAATGGCAAACCACCTCAGTATGCTTGCCGTGAGAACCTAGACCATTATAAGTTAATGTAATTAGTCTGGAATTCTCAGGGAAGGCTAGATAGAGAAGATGGGGCCTGAAATGGACTATAAAATGTGAACTTTTGAAATGCTATTCAACTACATGAATAAGCAAAGAAATACAAATTAAAAGGTGTCATTCACCCCACTATATTACCAAACATTTTTTTGATGCTCATTGTTGAAGGAAACAGAGAAAACCAGAAAACTGTATACCAAAATATGATCAGTAGTTGTCTACATATCAGAATATTTTTATTACATTCATCCAGATTTTCCTAAGGTTCTACAGTAAGTATGTATTACTCTTATAATCAGAAAGATAAACTTCTAAAAATTGAGTAGGCTTTGGATGCCATATGTGTAATTTCATCCATTTATACTATAAAGACATGAGTGGAAGGGGAAGGCATTTGAAAGAGAAGGGGAAGTGCAAATACAAATTACTAAGTTAAAAAGAGAAAAACAATTACTGCAGAGAAATGAGAACTTAGGCAAAGATTTAGCTGTAAGGATTTTCATTTCTCCATTGCAGTACTAATTAAGAACAGAAAGAAGGGGTTTCCCTGGTGGCCCAGAGGGAAAGAATCCTCCTTGAAGTGCAGGGGACCTGCTCTCAAGGGACCTGGGTTTGATCCCTGGTCAGGGAACTAAGATCCTACATGCCTTGGAGCAAACACTGAGCCTAAGCGTGGCAATGACTGAAGCTGGCAAACTCTGGAGCCCACGCCGCAACTAGAGAGCCTCCATGCCACAGCGAAGACCCAACACAGCCTCAACGAAGACCCAACACAGCCAAGCAAATAAAAGTTTTTTAAAAAAAAGGATAGAAACTGTTTTAACAAAAAATACAATGGAAAACATACAACCATGTTGGTTTTTAAATGAAATATGCTTATAAAAGCTTTTTAGATTACAAAATAGCATGTACAATGTAATTAGAGCTTGAAACATTATATGCATAGAGATAGTCTGGAAGACTGCTCCAAAGTCTTTCCTGTGGTTGTTTACCGGTGAATGTTTAACCAAGCAGGACCCTATAGGGCCTTTCCAGGACAGACCGCCCCCCCCCCCATAACCTCTGCTGTAGCTCCTGTCTGAAATACCAAGATAATAGTATCTGATACATACTTCCTGAATTACAGATACTAAAACCACCACCAAATAAGAGAAACTATCCCACCATCATGAGCCCCCAGACCCTACAGACACCTTAGGACAGACACTGTTAAATGCCCTATTATCTCAACATTAACCAGAGACTCGTGCAGGAGCTGATCAGTACCCTGCAACCAGCCTCCCTCGCCCGCTTTTATAAATCCTTTACTGCGGGCTTCCCTGGTGGTCCAGTGCTAAAGCATCTGTCTTCCACTGCGAGGGCCACAGGTTCAGTCCCGAGAAGATCCCACACGCAGGAGAGCAACTAAGCCCTCACGCCTAGAGCCCATGCTCCGAAACGAGAGAGTAGCACCGGTCCACTGACACTAGAGAAAGCCCCCGAGCAGCAACAAAGACCCGCCACAGCCAAAAGAATGAGATAATAAATCTAAAGAAAGGAATCCTGGGCTGAAATCTTTCAGGGAATTTGGGGTGTTTGAGCCCCATCTCCCTTCTCCTTGCTGGGCCTGGCAAGACACTTTTCTCTGCTTCGAACTTCCACATTTTGGGTTGGGCTCACTGTGAAGAGGAAATTTGGCGGTTTGGTTTTGTTTGCGCCTGTGTGTGCTTGCCTTCATTTTCTAAAGCAAAAATAGTTGTTTTATAGGAAGTTGTGTAGAGCTGCTTAAAATCTCACATCAACAAACGAAGTTCCACATAACTTTAAAGCGCTTTCTAGCTTTTTTTGCAACTAAAAATTTACTTATCGAGAGCCACCAAAAATTCGGTGAAATTGGCCTTTCCTTACCGACCCGTTTCGAAGACAGAGAAAGAACAAAAGTCTCCACCACCCACTGCAGGAATATAACACACCCGGACCCAG